GAAGTTTTTAAGAAGAGACTGGCAGCCATTTGTCTGAAATGGTGTAGGGTTTCCTGCCTGAGCAGGGGGTTGGACTAGATGACCTCCAAGGTCCCTTCCAACTTTACTACTATTATTATTATAAATGTTTTACAGATGGCATTTAACACCAGTGAGATTAGCAAAAATGTTTAAAAATACATCAAACAAGTGTTGGAAATGCAAACAAAAGCTAGGTGCTTATTACCATATCTTGTGGACGTGCCCTAAAGCTAAAAGATTTTGGTCAAAAATACATTTATGGTTAGAGAAAATGACTAAAAAGCAAATAGATTTTAAGCCAGAATTGTTTTTGTTAGGAATAATAGGAGCAAATTATGAGAAAGACTATAGTGTATATATTTAATTTTACATATACTAACTGCAGCAAGAATTGTATTTGCCCAATATTGGAAAAATAAAAATTTATCAACAGAAGAAGAACTAATTAAGAAAATTTAGAGTGTGCAAAAATGGATAGATTGATTTTAAAGATAAAAGAGAAAGAAGATTCAGTGTATTTTAGAACATGGGATAATTTATATCAAAGGCTAGAAAAATGAGTCAGAGAGAAAGGAACCTGATATGTAACACTAACTATATACTAGTAAGAAGAAGACTACTGAGCAAGTAATTAACATATTATTTGTGATAATTAATTATTATTCATAGTTTTTTTAAAATACATGAACTCAGACAACATGCTGTTTGCTAAATATTAAGAATTTTTAAATTGAAAAGGCCTCCGGAGCCTGGATCGGGCCACTGGGAGGCTGCAAAATTGCTCCACGGCCATGGGTCCGGGCTCCAGAGGCTTGGAAAAGCCTCTGGAGCCCAGATCGACCTTGGGGGGGGGGGAGACACAAAATTGCTCTGCAGCCATAGATCTGGGCAGCAGAGGCCTTTTCCAGGCCTCCGGAGCCTGGATCGGGCTGCTGGGGATCCGCAAAATCACTCTGCAGGCATACATTGACTCGCACTGGCAGCTTAGAAGGAACCGGTTCTTCCGTTTTTTTTTATGTCCATTTTTTATGTCCATGCGTTCTTGCTTTTTTTGTTGCTTTGAAGGGAAAGGGGGGGGGTGATTACCTGTTTTATTGCAAGCATAATACTTTATATACACTGCATTTCATGCAATTTGTAAAACTACTTCACACTGAACTTTTTTCAATTTTTCCAAAATCTCTATTTTTTTTCTGGAAAAAAATGGTTTTTTTCTCATGGCCGTGGTTCTGACAGGTTGTGCAGAGGGGGATGGGGCCCGAGTTATAAAAAGAAAGTGTCAGGGGCAGACAGGTGAGAGTGTGTTGGGGGGCAACCAGGAAGGGAAGGAGGGGAACCTCCAGGGGGCTTCACAGAGATGGCTTGGCTCACAACTCAGCCAGCTTCAATGAAATGAAAGGGGTGAGGAAGAGCAAGTCTGGCATGGCTTCTGGTATTGCAGGAGGGGTGTGGCAGGCAAAGAGTGGTGGTACGTAGCTTCTGGCGTTGCAGGGGGATGTGGCGTGGCTTCTGGTGTTGCAGTGGCGGAACGCAGTTTCGTTCACTTGCAGCACTCTCCCATGTGCCACTGCTGTTTGCCTGCTGCCCCTCTCCCAATGCCAGAAGTCGCTCTGGGTTTGGTCTTCCTCCCCACTTTCATTTCGTTGGAGCTGGCTGAGTTGTAAGGCAAACCATCTCTGCAAAACCCCCTAGAGGTGACCCTCCCTCTGTACCTGGTCATCCCCAACACACTCTCACCTGTTTGCCTCCCTCTGACACCTTCTTTTTATAACTCGGGCCCTGTCCTGCTCTGTATGACCTGTCAGAACCATGGCTCTGGAGCCACCCAACTGGTCGGAAAGTATAGTCCCTTTTAAAAAAAAACTTGCAGAGCAGCCATGGCACTTTAAAAAAAAAAAATCCTGCATTGCACACTGCCCACCTTACAGCCCCTGCAATCACCCCATCCATTGCCAATCGCACACTGCCTCCCAAGCACCATTGCTTCTGCTTGCCATCTGATTGGCTGGGGGCTATTTGTCCCATGCAGCTAAAGCTCTGAGTCAAATGGTGTCTGGGTGAACGAGCAGGGACAAAGGGCGAGGGGCAGAGGGGCAGGGATCTATTGGCCATGGAGAATGGCTGGGGAAGGGCTAGCAGAGCAGGAAAGTTGGCTGTAAATTGGCTGAAGCGGATGGCTGGGGGTGAGGGGGCACAGCCAAGGGTCAGTGCCTAAATGTCCCATTCTGCTACAGACTGTTTTAAAAGTGCCAAGTTTTGAATATGGTATAAGCATAACAATATATGTATACTTACATGTATGCTGGAGACTAATTTCATGAATTACTTTTAATCAGAAAATGAATGAAACTGTTTTGATTTATACCTACACACTATTGTTGGCAATGTAGCCTCCACAGCTAGGAGGAATTTTGACGAAGGAACACTTTACAATATATGAAATGAGTCTAAAATGATCATCTACCTGCCTCTGGATTTAGTTCCTTTTTGAACCAAATACAGAAGTAGAACATTTATTTCTCAAGAATCCTACAAGACTGCTAGCCAATTGTATTTATCCTATTCTGCAGTTACCCTCCTTTTTGTTATCTACCTCCACAAGTACCCTGTACTTTAATGACTTCCACTGTAAGCATGTCTCCCTCCTGCAATATGGAATGCTGGTCAACTTGACTTGATTTTTAGACTGGGAAAGAACTGCATGAGAAGACTTCCTCTAGCTTTCCCCAACTTTAAATTTTCCAAAATATATTGATCAGCAACTACAGAATTCTCAGTAAATAGTGTGATATTAATATGGCAATATTAATTACAGAAAGAGCTGATTAAACACACTTTGCAATTAATATATAGATTTTGTTTTCTTACAAGCCTTTTCTAAATCCACAGGACTAGAGGAAAGTCAAAGAGTAACAGAGTTTGATAGAAAGATGGAGAACATTTTTTTAAAAGTGTCTCTGTGTGAATGTTCAAAATCTAAATCCAATGAAATAAAGTATTCTGAAAGCTTTTCATATATAGCAAGTCCCTGATCACTGACCAAAAAAAGAGAGAGATATTGAATTTAGTGTTTTTTTTACGTATCTAAATACAATTGTGCTAAAGAAATTCAATATTCTTTGTGGCTGCTTCCAGACAGCTGAGTAATTGCCAAAGCATCAGCAGCTTGCAAATGATTTTGCAGATCTCTTTTTCTCCTTCCTTAAAGCAGCTTTTCTTTGAAGGAGTCAATCAACAAAAAATCAAAATGTCAAAATAACACAGTACAGAACAAGTCATTTGACAAACTATGCTGTTGGCCTTAGGTAATTTGGCTATTAATTTTTTCAAACAGTCTGAAGAGATTTGTGTTGTAGGCTGATTTCTGTCTAGACAAAGAAAGGAGTGTAAAACACATTAAACCAACAGAACTTAGTAAAGACAAGAAAAATCTGTTTCATAGATTTTCAGTTGCCTGAATCTCCAAAGTTTCTTCCCTCCCCCTTCTCCTACTTTTGATTCCATACTGCCTAGCATGTAATCAACTGAGATTTTGGGGAGGTTACAAATGTTATATATCAGAGATTATAGATAAAAATTGCCCTGTTTCCTATTTATTACATTAGGTTTTTAAACATACCCTCAATTAGAAAAAAACCCTTGGGGAGGAATGGGACAATTCACTGATGCCCACTCATCACCACCATCTCGCCACAGCCAACTCACTATGGCCAATTCATTGTGGGACATTTCACCATGGAACAACTCACTGTAGGACAAGTAGAAATTCAATTTAAAATTATTTAAATTTTAATTTTTGTCATTCACATTTCATTTTATCCCCCATTTTGGATCCTTTCTTTAATGATTTTATTTCACCATTTCTTTGATATTAATGTAACTCTTGACCCATGGCAAGTTGTCACATGATGAGTTGGCTTTGACAAGTTATATTGCAGCAAGTTGACCATGGAAAGTTGGTTGTGGCAGGTTGGCCGTAGCAAGTTGCCCACAGCAAGTTGTTTTAGACCCACCTTGGGGAATGGAACAGATAATTCAATAAACTCCATGAACTGTAATATTGCTGTAATATGTATTTTAGTTTTCTGTAATTCTTATAAAGTTATTATTTGAAAGAGTGAGCTCCAGAGTTGTGCCAGTTTAACCCTCATCCCCCCCCAAGAAACTAATATTTATAAGATCATTTTTTTGTATTTAGACTTATTTTTTGGAAAGAAACATTACACTGATTGAAGTGCTAAATATGAAAATAAATATTCCTTGTCCTGGCAACAGTTTACAATCTTTACCTACTACCTTTTTGATATACGGGGGAATCTGAGGTTTGTAATTCCAACGTATGTACAGGCACCAGACAAGTACTGAAATACAATTGCACAGTTGTTAAGCTAGTAACATAGTTGTAAAGTGAATCTGGTTTTCCCATTGACTTTGCTTGTCAGAAAGTTGAAGAAAGTGATCATCTGACCTTGGGACACGGCAACCAGTTGCCAAGCATCTGATTTTTGATTACATAATTGTGGGCTTGCTACACCATTCTTAACTGTGAAGAATAGTCATAAGTCACCTTTTTCAGCACCATTGTAACTTTGAATGGTCACTAAATCAACTGTTGTAAGTTGAGGACTATCTGTATTTTATATTTTACCTACTGTAGATAGTTTTAATAACTGGAAAAAATGTTATTTTAACCACCAGAATCTTGGTTCTTAAATTGTGGTGATTAAGCAGCTTTTAGTAAATATTTTCTGCAAATGAAAAAAGTTTATTTAGTAAGGCTGTCTACGTTAGGCTAGCTGATGTTCCAATAACAACAACAACAACAACAACAACAACAACAACCTAAAGGACAAGATTGCAAAGTTGGAAATACATATGAAGGAAAGACTACCTCCATAAGAATTGCCTATTACTAGCCCTGTACAAAATATTTTAACTACAACACAAGAAATTAATACTTTTTAAAACATGATGCTTACCAGGTTCTGCTGTAGAACGTGGTTCTGTTTATGACATCATCCAAAGCACAGAATAGGGAAGAGAGACAGGAAGAACAAAGTGCATTAGAAATGTTATTATGCAAAGGTAAAAAGCTTTATAAAATTAGAACTTTAATTTCAGAATACAGTTAAAAACAATAATAATTTCGTATTTGTATATTTTTACTGCATGTCTTCTTCAATGGGAAAATAATTGTCCACTTACTTTTTTGAAGAATTCGGAAGTCTGGGGAATCATGAATTTCAACCCCTTGACGAAACCAGAGAACATGCAAGGGAGGTGCTCCTCCTACTCTACACTCAAGTACAACTACTTGTCCTTCATTTGCTGTTGAATTTTGAAGCTCCTGAAAGTTTGATATACAAATAAGCAAATGAAAATACAAACAGACATATCTACCAGGGAAAGTAACATTAATATTGGCAAGCTATAACATCAACATTGGCAATTAACAGCAGCTGCTGAAATATTTTACTTGTTTATTATTTATTATGTTATTATTTTTTTTCAATTCTTTATTTGGATGGTGCAGATTTCATTTCTAAGTAAACTAGAGGAGCATGCCAGAAATGGGGCCACAGAAACAAGCAAAGCTCCATCCACAGGATACAAGCAGTACACAAAACCACACCCCCTCCGGTTCATGGAAAGAAATTTCTCTCCATGGAACCAGTCCCTGGTGTCCAAAAGATTGGAGGCCGCTGAACTAGAGTCTTAAGTCTAGGTCAACATATATCTCTTCTCTTTCCTTTTGTCTTGAACAGATTTCCCAGCCAGTTGAAGTTCTACATCTTAAAGTTGAAGTTGAGAAACCTTGCTCTTGGGCTTTGAAAATAGGAATACTTTTTCTCAGTGCTTTTTTTTCTTAAAAAAAAAAAGGTGCCTGAACTCACACACATCATACAACCCGCCTTGCCTACCCTACAAGGTTCTATCCCAAAAAGATGCCGGAACTCCGTTCTGGGCGTTCTATGAGAAAAAAACCCCTGCTTTTTCTAAAGATAGAGTTGGTCCTGGTATTGGCATAGAATAAACCTTGTAATGATCAAATTATGTTATAATCAGATGCTTACAGCTATGGAAATTTTGCCTGCCTGCCTGCCTGCCTATCTATCATCACTCATATTTCCTATCTGAATACGAGGAAATGAAACTTTAATGTGCTGAAGCAATAGCTGGTCTTAATGGTATCTGTTGCTCACATTTTAGATGGCTGCAGTGGAAAATTGGATGAATTTGTCTGAGGGACTTTGGGAGTTCTAACTGTGACAGGGTTTATGATTCTGACAATGGGGAATGGTCCGACATATTTGGGTCCCAGTTGTAAGGTTTTTAGGTATTTGGTAGATAGGTAAACCTTCTCCCCTACACTAAAAGGTTTTAGCTCAACTCTCTTTTTTCTGCTTGCATTTTATATCCTTGCCTAGCATCATCCAAGACTTTTCTGACTACTGGCCAGGTATTCTTTAGTTGTGCAATCTACTCCTTTAATGAAGGGGTTGCAGGGTCTACTGAAGGGAGTTCAGGCATTGGGTTGAAACTCTGTCCTGTGGCTACTTGGAAAGAAGTGTAGCTGATGCTGGAATGGATGGCATTGTTGTAAGCAACTTCTACGAATGGGAGCAGGTCAGTCCAGTTGTCTTGCTGGTAATTAATAAAGCATCTTAAATATTGTTCCAGTACTGAGTTCAGCCATTCAGTCCCACCATTCATTTGCGGATGATGACTGGATGACAGTTCCTGGGTGGTTCCTAACAGGCTTAGGAACACTTTCCAGAACTCTGATGTGAATTGTACTCCTCTATCGGATATGATGTATTGAGGGGCTCCATGAAGTCAATATATGTGTTGAACAAACAGTTTTGCAAGTGTCTTTCCATTAGGAATCTTTGTACAGGGAATAAAATGTACTTGTTTGGAGAATAAGTCTGTCACGACCCAGATGACTGTGTTTCCACTACTCTCGGGTAATTCCACAATAAAATCCATGGAGATCTCCTTCCAAGGTGCTGAGGGAGTTGCTACTGGTTGCAGTAATCCTGGTGACTTCCCTTGTAGTCTTTTTGCTGAGGCACAAATTGGGTAGCTGGCCACGTAGCTTTCAACGTCCTTTTTTATTGAAGGCCACCAGAATTGCCTTTTAACTAAGTGCAGTGTTTTTACAAACCCAAAATGGCCTGCAGACTTTGAGTCGTGGCACAGTTGCATGAATGTTAGTCTCTGGCTTTTGGGTATGTACAATTTTCCTCGCACCCATGGTAGTCCATTAGTGATGGTGCATAGGTTCTTATGGCTTAGGAACCATTCATCGGTTTCTAGTGCTTTTTTGAACTTGATTCCTGCTTGACTTGCTAAAGGCTTTTGGAGTTTGGCTTGTGCTTGGGTAGTGATACGTGCTGCCAGTTGTTTATCTGGCATATGCTGCATCACTACTAGTACTGTTGTATTGTGGCATTCGGGACAATGCGTCTACTAGAAAGTTTTTCCCTCCCAGAAGGTGTTTTAACATAAAATTAAATCAGTGGAAATGTTGTGACCATCTTGCTTGTTTGGGAGTAAATTTCTGGAGTGTTTTTAGTGTTTCCAGGTTTTTGTGGTCAGTCCACACTGGGAAAGGAATTTTGTTCCCCTCCAGGAAGTTCTACCAAGTGATAAGAGCCCACTGCACTGCATATGCCTCTTTTTCCCAGGCCACTCACCTCTGCTCCATCTCTGTGAGTTTCCTTGATGTGTATGCACAGGGCTGTAGTGTTCCCTCATCGTTTTCCTGCAAGAGTACAGCCCCCAAAGCCACATCGCTGGTGTTCTGTTCTGTGCGTTGGTAAGGCATTGAGACGAGGCATGGTAAGGCATTGAGACGAGGCAGGACTAATAACAGTTGTTACTTTATTAAGCTTCAACAGAACCTCAACAGAACCAACAAGAAGATGGCACGGATCTCTTTTATACCCTTTTGCAGGGACAGCATCAGCCAATAAATGAAACGTATTTTTCCCGCTTTGCGCGTGTGCAATAGGCTGGAGACAGCCTGTCTGGCCCGGGCAGCCACGTGTTCTGCCCGGGTCTCTCTGCAGCTTCCTGCACCTGCTCTGTTAATCACAGGCCCAGGACATAACATCTCTCCCTTCTTAGTTAAAAAAAAAAACACCACTATTTTTTAACTACTCCAAAGTTATTCTTTTGAGTGTGTTCTTATTTCTAGAGAAATGCTAGGCCTGCCTGCTTACAGACAGGAATCTTACATAATCTTGTAAGAACTTTGGAGGACCTCTGGCCTGCTCTGACCGTGTCGGAGCTGCTGCAAGTGCCTGGTCTGCAAACTCGCCTGCCAGGCTCGGCAGACCGGCACTTTGAGGCCCAGTTGATACAGGCGAACCCACATCTTGCTGACTGGCCTGGTCTGGTAGACCCAACCCTTTGTCCATCTGACTTTGGCTGGCTCTTTCTGGTAAGCCCAGACCAGAGTTCCTTGGTGGGGTGAAATTCCCCAGATCCACAAAAGACCCCTGTTGGGAGCACTGTCCCGTAGGCACAAGGCCTGCAGTAAGTGTGGCATGAAAAGCCAGTTGCGTGCAATGTCCCATGGACCCAGTGCCAGAGTCAGGAGCCACCTTGTTGGCAAAACCCCAATTTACAGAGTGCAAACTCCTGCTTCCGCAGAGAGACTGAGATCACAATCATGATCATGGTCCTGCCCCCCCCGAGAGCAGAGTTAGGAGCAGAAGGGTGACTAGGTAGCCTCCATCGCAGCTGGTCAATGTACCGATGCAGCATGCGACCATCTTCCAAGGACACTTTGTATGACAGTGGCCCAGTGACTTTGCAGACCACTGCTGTCATCCAGAGATGTCCAGGTCCATAGTTCCTTGTCCAAACCAGATCGCCCACCTGTAGTCTCCTAGGTGCCCGCAGCTGTGACACCTGTGAAGCCACCCGGTCTGGGTGCAACCTGTCCAGTTTGGTAATGAGACAGCAACCCCAGCGGAGTTCAGCTGGGCTCTTGCCTGTAGCTGTGCAAGGTGTGGTACGGTGGCAAAGGAGAAAATCAGCTAACCTGTGGTGCCAGCTCCCATGAGTGAGCCTCTTCAAGGCGTCTTTGGTTGTGTGCACCATGCGCTCAGCTTGGCCATTGGAAGCCGGATGAAAGTAGCATGACAAATCGTGTTGGCTTGCAGGAAAGCCTAGAACTCCGAAGAGGTGAATTGAGGCCTGTTGTCAGAGACAAGGACATCTGGCAGCCCATGAGAGGCGAAGATCCCTCTCAGCACCCACATGGTCCTGGCAGTAGTCGTAGTGGACACTGGAACAACCTCTAGCCATTTAGAGTGACTGTCCACAACAATAAGGAAGAGCTGCCCCTGAAAGGGGCCAGTGTAGTCGATATGAACCCTCGACCAAGGAGCATGTGTGTCCTCCCACCTGTGTACAGGAGCCTGTGGCATTTCAGGCCTAGACTGTTGGCAAACGTGGCAAACCTGGACCTGGGTCTCAATCTCCTTATCAAACCCAGGCCACCAGAGATAGCTGCGCGCAAGAGCCTTTATCCGGACTATGTCTGGATGTCCCTCATGCAGAGATTGCAAGACTCTAGTTCTCAATGAGGTTGGGATCACTACCCTGCTACCCACAGGACACAACTCTTAAAGGTGGATAGCTCATGCTTCCTTTTCCAGAAAATCTGGAAATTAGTGCCAGGACACGTGTCAGGCCATCCTGACAGTACCCAGTTCAACACATGTGTTAGCGTGCGATCAGTGGCTGTTTCTGCAGCCACATCCCCTGCACTGAGGGGAGACTCAGGCAAATCCTGGATAGCCAGGATGTGGTTAGCTGGAGCAGGATCAGATTCTACAAGCTGTAGAGGCAACCTACTAAGGCCATCTCGTGGCCCATTTCTTTACCTGGTTTGTGAACCAGGGAGTAGTCATACACAGAAAGGAAAATTGACCACCTCAACATTCTAGGAGAAATTATGTGTGGGGTTTGCTTTTTCGTTGTAAACAACCCCAGCAATGGCTTATGGTCTGTAAAGACCGTGAAGTGGCGACCATACAAAAAGTCATGGAACTTTTTTATGCCAGCCACTCTGGTCAATGCTTCTCTGTCTATCTGTGCGTAATTACACTCTGCAGAAGACAGAGTCCTTGAATAGTATGCTACAGGAACTTGTGTTCCATCAGCCTTAAGGTGACATAAGACAGCCCCAATCCCATAAGGGGATGCATCGCAGGCTATACACACTGGCAGCTGCTCATTGAAATGAGCGAGAATAGCATTTGAAGACAACAATACCTTGACCTCAGCAAAACTGCTTTTGTGGACTTGTGTCCACTTCCATGGAGCCTG